TCCGTTCGCATAGTTTCCTATATTCTAATCTCTTTTTTCTGTATTCCTCTTTCTCTCCTTTATTCTTCCTCCACCTTCTTAATTCCCTTCTCACCTCCATTTTTCTCTCTTTGCATTCCTCATCCCACCATCCTCCTTCTTTCTTCCCTTCTGCCTTTTGCATTTCTTCCACCTCTTTTAATGCTTTTATTATTTTTCCTTTTACTTCCTTCCATTCTTCCTCTAGTCCTTTCCCTTCCTCCCTGTCCAGCTTCACTCTTTCTTTATACTCTTCCTGTCCCTTCCTCTCCCATTTCACCTTTCTTGTTTCTTGTCTTTTCCTTCCTCTTTCCTTTCCTTGGTCTTCCCCCTCTATCCATACCTCCAGTGGGTGGTGATCCGAATCTATTTTTTCCCCTACTCTCATGCTTCTGATCCTTTTCCGAGATCTCCTCATCTCCTATCACGTAATCTATTACCGTGTTTCCTTTTCCTCCTGTAAACGTGAATTCTCCTTTCTCGTCCCCCTCTATATTGCCGTTGTATATGCTCCACCCTCTCTCCTCGATTACCTCTACCAGCCTCCTTCCCTCCTTGTTCATTTTCTAATCTTTCCAGTTCCTACTTTTACTCTCTCCTGATCTTTGCTCTTCTATTACGTTCAATCTCCCTCCTTCCATCCCTGTTCTTGCTCTTGTAAAGTCCCCCCCGATCAATATTCTAAGTCCCTCCTCCTTCCTATCCATCAACCTCTCCAGCTTTTTTAACATCTCCTCTATGTTTTTATTTTTGTATACTCCTATCATCTTCCATTTCTCCTCCCCTCTTTTAACACCTCCACTTATTATCCCTTCCTCCTCCGTCTCTATCCCTGTTTCTTTATCTAACATTTCCTTCTTTATTCCCATTGCCATTCCTCCACTCGCTCTTCCTTTCTTGTTTCTTTTCTTTGCCCATTGTGTTCTCCAAATATAACCTTTTGGTAATAATCCTTTAATGCCTTCCCATTGTTTCTTTTCCAGCCATGTCTCTGACAGTACTATAACTTCCCATTCGTTTAATCCTTTCCAGAAGCCCTTATCCTTGTTCTTTACTCCTGCCACATTCCAAAAACCGACCTTCCATCCTCCTCCCTCTCTCTCTTTTCTTTCCTCCTTCCTTTTTTCCCTCTCTTCTCCTTCCTCCTCTTTTCCTTCTTCTTCTCCTGTTTTATTCATCTTCTCTCTTTCCTTTCCTCCTCTTCCCCCCGTTCATTATCTCTCCTCCTTCCATTCTCGCCCTTCAGCACCTCCTCCTCTTCATCCCACCTCCACCATTTCCCTTCTACTCTTATTCTCCCTCCTTTTATCCATGTGTGGATTCGGGCGACTAGAAATACTGGACGCAGCGCGTTTGCGGAATACTGATTGCCTTTTATTCCTGGGGAATATACATATACCTTTAACTATCCTTATAATAATTTTTAAAAATACGTAAATTATTCCGATTAAAATTAATTATTATTTAATTATAATATTTTTATGATCGCTGATGCCACAGAACACTGTGTTGTCACAGAAACAAAAATAAAATCTTGGAAACATCTTCGTAAGTTATCCCTTCGCAGACCCGTGCACGCATAAGCGACCCATTATGTTTCCATTCTCCTCATGATTGTGTTATATTGCCATCCCCTTTACGATGCCGTGATATAATATATAACGGATAACTTGCAAAAATGTTTCCAAGATTTAATTTTTATTTTATTAAGAGATAGCAATATAATAAAAATTTTTATCCGTCAATGTAACGAGCTAATGAAGACTCAAATCTCTGATATAATATATCACGGCATCGCAAAAGGGACAGCAATACACAATCATAAGGAAAATAAAAATATAATAGGTCACTTATGCGTGCACAAATCTGCGAAAGGATAATTTGTGAAAATGTTTCCAAGATTTTATTTTTTAGCAATATAATAATAATACTTCTCTTCTACTAATAGCTTATCAATGTATGTCTTTATCAGAACTGACCAGTCATTATCGGGTCAATTTTTAATAACATTTATCAATATTTTTAATAACATGACAATCATGTGAAACTTACAACTTTTTAATCAATGTTTTTAATAATGTGATAAAGTCACGTAAATCTCTTAAATGTTCGGTACATTTGTAATCAATATTTTTAATAATATGACAAAGTCATGTAAACTTTTTAAATATTTAAGCAAACTGCTGACTTGGAGTATAAGAATTCTTGTAATCTTATTGATAAGCTACTACTATATTAATTACTTAAGAACTACGTCAGTTACATATAAAAATTGCTTAAAAATTATTTCGCATTCAAAACTTATAATTATATAAACCATAAATATAATACTTATGTATAAACGCCAATTTTTCGTATTTATATGGCCTCTGGGTTTTCTGCAGCAATGTAAAATAGTTAGGAGAGTGTGACCAGCTACGACGTTGTTACAATTAAAGGTGTTGCAAAAATTATTGGTTCATCATTGTACTGGTATTTATCGCAGTGTATTTAAACCATTGCGGCTGTTACCACCCTTAACGTCAAGATGGAACGGTCACCTTTTTGTCGTTGTCATAGTCTAGAGGGCCGACGAACTGTTGGTCGTCTGGAGATCGCAAATGTAGCCTCTAATATTACGGTTGTTGTTTAAACATTCGCGCTTGCGCGAAAGCAGAAGGAATTATTTGTATAAATACAACTGGATCGAATTAAAATCAAGCCAAGATTAATAGAAATGGCTATAGTTGGTTCTCCTCTTAAAATTGAAAGATTTTGCTGTTCGAGTAGTCGAGTTCTATGACTCTCACGACCACTCACAGCGAACACTTGCCAATCGATCTCCATGGTTTAGACTAGACTACCCTCCATTTATCCTTTTATTCTTCTGCCTTTTTCTTCTTCTCCTCTTGCTATCTCTCCCAGTTTCCATTTGATTTTCCTCTCCTTCCATGTTAAATCCTCCGAGATTCTTTCCGGTCTCCCTCTCAAATTTCTCTTCTTCTCCATAATGTCCCATTTTTGTTCTTCGTTTTCTAGCTTCACCAGTAGCATCTCTCTTCCTTCTTCCTTCTTCTCCCCAATTCTCCTTATTTCCTTTATCTCCGCCTTCGCTCCTACTATTTTCAGAATTTCCTCCACTGCCTCCCTTCTTTTACCCTCTCTTACTTCCACTCCTCTCATTACCACATTCCTCCTTTTCTCCTCTCTTTCTCTATTCTCCATTTTTTTCCATCTCTATCATTTTATTTCTTATACTATCTTCTTTTTCTCTCCCTCTCTCTCTCTTCTCTACCACCTCTTCCTTGCCTCTTTCCTGTTCCAGCTTTTCTATCCTCTCTTTCATCTTTTCTATTTCTTTCATTAGTTCTTGTCTTTCTTCCTTCCATTCATTCCGTATTCCTCTAAATTCTTTTCTTATATCTTCTATTATTCCTTCTATCATTTTCTCCTGCTCCTTGATTAAACTCTCTTTCATCTTCTCCATCATCCTTTCGAAATACTCCTCTACACTGTTGCTTTCTTCTTGCTTCCCTTCTTCTTGCTCTATTTCTACCTTTCCTCCCTCCTTTCCTGGTGATCTCTGCGTTAGTCTACTTCTCTTGAAAATGTCTCCCTCCCCCCCACTCTTTTCTAGTTCATCCCTTTTTCTCTTCCATAACTCGTCCAACGTACCTATGCTCCCGCCTCTCCCCCTTTCCCTCCTTATTATTTTTATCCTATCCTTTTCCTTATCGTCCATCTTCCTGCGTGTTCCCTCCCTTCCGTTGCGTATCCGCCCGTTCCTCTACTCTCGCGTTTAGTCCCCCCCCCTCTATCTATGTTACTGTCTCTCTGCCCGTCTCCCTCCCGTGCCTGTTTACCACGCGCGCATCTATCCTACCTCGTACTCTATGCCTTACCGGCTCGTACCTATTGCCTTATTTCTCCTCTCTCTCTCGCTCCTCCCCTCACTCTCCCTATCCAGCCCTTCACTCTCTCACTCCTCCACCCTCTTGCCCTTTCACTCTCACTCTCGTCCCTTCACTCTCTCTCACACACTGCCTAACTTTATCTCTACTGCCCGTCCCTTACGTGTCACCACGATCGCACTGGAAGCGGAAGTCCCGGGAAGTCAATTATGTAAATTTCATTATTTAACTTAAGAAACATTTTGCAATTGGTTTCATGTTGATCGGTGCACTGTTTCTATGCGAAACACCATAACGACTCCCTAATACCCCCAACTTTGGGGGTCGATTTCATCCCTTTAATGTTGACCATTGCCGATAAAAAAAATACGTATCTATTATTTTTGCCTACTCTATAAGTATACAAAGTTTCAATGAAATCGGTGAGTCACGCAAAGGTAGGTTTCCTTGTCAGTTGTAAAAGAGGACAGCATAACGACCAAACTTCGAGTCGTTTTCGATGGTTCCAGTGCCACCTCGTCCGGAGTGGCACTCAATGATATACTTAGGGCGGGACCCACCATACAGCAAGATCTACTGTGCATCCTGCTCAGATTCCGGCAGTGCCAATACGTCGTTACGGCGGATATAAAGAAGATGCATCGGCAGATACTTCTTCATGAAGAACAACGCGATTTACAGCGAATCGTGTGGAGAACCGACGCTGGCGCCCCTGTCCGAGAATACCGCCTTAACACTCTCACATATGGATTAACTAGCGCTCCATTCCTGACTACACGATGCCTGCTTCAGCTCGCCATTGATAATCTGGAACAATATCCAGAGGCCAGCGATATTATACGCAACGACTTCTATATTGACGATTTGCTGACCGGTGGCAACGAATCAAAACCTTACGGCGACTCAAGATCGAACTGACGGAAATCCTGGCTTCGGCAGGTTTCCAGCTTCACAAGGAACACCAACGAACCTGCCATCTTAGATGGGTCATCAGACGCCACCACGTTACCCATTGGAGACGGGATCAAGACGTTGGGAGTTTGTTGGAACAGTACCGACGACTGTTTGCAATACAGGACTCAAGCAGTGACGATGAGGGATCGCGCCACCAAAAGATCAGTGCTCTCAACCATTGCTCAAATTTATGACCCACTAGGATTAATGGGACCAACGATTGTCCGTGCCAAAATGATCCTCCAACAACTCTGGAGACTGAAAATAGGATGGGACGAGTCCCTTCCTCTCGACCTTCATACTACATGGATGCAATATCAAGGAAGGATCAACGACATGAGTTTAATCTCTATTCCCCGACCTGTAATCTGCTCGGCGCCGCGCAGGGTCGAAATGCATGGATTCTGTGATGCGTTTGAAGCGGCATACGGAGCCTGTATCTACATACGGAGCATAAACGAGGCAGGACAAATATCGTCACATCTTCTATGCGCCAAGTCCCGGGTAGCCCCTCTCAAGAAGGTTACGCTTCCCCAACTTGAATTGTGCGGAGCTTTGTTGCTTACAAAACTTGGCCAAGCAGTGCGACAAGCGCTTTCAGTAAGGTTCGACAGCATTAATTATTGGAGCGACTCTACAATCACCCTAGCATGGCTCAAGCGTAGTCCTGAAGAATTGCAAACCTTCGTTACAAACAGGGTGGCAGAAATACAGCGGGTTGCATCTGACGCACAGTGGCTTCACGTAAGGTCCAAGGATAATCCGGCAGTCGTTTTATCTAGGGGTGCATCGCCCGAGGTTTTTGGAACGTTTCGCCTGTGGTGGGATAGACCACCCTGGATGACAATGGATCGACGGCAATGGCCCAACGAGTTTTCATCGCTGCCGGAAGCTCAAATTCCAGAACTTAAGAGGCAAGCAGTTGCGGCTCCATGCAGTTCGTCAGATTTCGACTTACTGACAAAATTGTCGTCCTTTTCGCGCCTAAAGCGCGTGGCAGCATATTGTCTGCGATTCAAGAGAAACACCCTCACAAAGCAGTTAAGGGAATCAGGCCAGCTCACAGTGGAAGAATTGGAAGAGGCTACAGCCAGGCTCATACAGATAGTCCAGTCAGAGGAATTCGCCCCAGAAAAAATGGACCTCCAAACCAAAGGGCAGGTGGCCACTAAGAGCAAGCTTGTTACGCTCAACCCATTTATGGATGCTAAAGAAATTGTACGGGTAGGCGGTCGGATTCGTCACGCCAAAATTGACTATTCGTGTCGTCATCCAATAATCTTGCCGACAAAGCACCCTTTTACGGAATTAATAATTCGGGATGCCCATCTTAAACAGTTTCACCTAGGACCTCAAGGTCTTCTCGCTCATTTGCGTCAATTGTATTGGATTATTTCAGGAAGGCAAGCGATTCGACGAGTCCTTCGCAAATGTATCACGTGTTACCGCGTGCGCCCTATAACTCAGAATCAATTGATGGGTGATCTTCCAAAGAACCGCGTTAACCCATCACGGGCGATTCTGCATTCCGGGTTAGATTACGCGGGACCGTTCAACATCAAAATCTCGCGAAACAAGGGTGGAAAGGCGTATTTGTGTATCTTTGTATGCTTCTCAACAAAAGCTACTCATTTAGAGATCGTCAGTGACCTATCAACGAACGCCTTTCTAAATGCCTTAAAGCGATTCATCGCACGACGTGGTAGATGCGCTACATTGTGTTCCGACAATGGCATAAATTTTGTCGGGGCAAACAACGAGCTCAAGGCCCTCGCGAACATGATAAAGACGGAACATGGTAAAATAGAGCGATTTCTATCCGATCAAAATATTCAATGGAGTTTTATTCCTTCATACTCTCCGCATATGGGAGGGCTCTGGGAGGCAGCGGTTAAATCCGCCAAGACTCACCTAAAAGGAGTTATCGGTGATACCCTTTTAACGTTTGAAGAGCTCGGCACGATTTTTGCCCAAATCGAAGCCATCTTAAATTCACGGCCGCTATGTCCGATCTCTGATGATCCTAGCGATGTCAAACCTCTTACTCCGGGGCACTTCCTCATCGGCGAACCACTCAACTCCTTCCCAGAGCCTGACCTCACCGAGGTAGCGACAAATCGACTAACGCGATTCCAATTGTTATCGCAGATGCGACAAAATTTTTGGACCCGTTGGTCCCAAGAATACCTGACGCAGCTCCAAAATCGTTACAAATGGCAAAAACCGAATGCCTCGGCGATTAAGGTCAATGCCTTAGTGTTACTCAAGAGCAATGATGCTCCTCCGTTAAAATGGCGTATGGCGCGAATAGTCGAAACACACGCCGGTACCGATAATCATAACCGCGTTGTTAGCGTACAAACTTCTAGCGGCATTACGAAACGTGCGGTAAACAAAATTTGCGTTCTTCCTATTGACGTCTAATGTTA